TACCTTCTAGCACGGGGTCTGCGTGTCTGCCCACTGCTGAGTAAAAAAGGAATGTGTGATTGGATCCTAAGGATAGAGCCAGGGTGACAGGGACCAGGTTCCCTTCCCAAAGCCCGGCCAGCAGCCATCCCTCTCACCCACATCAGTCTAGAAGGAAAGAAATAAGAATATACACCTATTTCTATGCGCTATCTATGTATATTTATTTCTACATATACTCTATATGTATACCTATTTCTATAGACTAAACTATTTATATACTTATATATAAGTATATATATACTCATGTCTATATACTATATCCTATATACATCTTTTTCTGTATACCATATATATATATATATATACACTAGATACAGATAGATATGTCTATACAGTAAAACCTTGGATTGGGAGTAACTTGCTCTGTGGGTGTTCTGAAAGACGAGCAAACATTTCTAACAAATTTTAACTCGATAACGAGCGATGCCGTGCAATATGATATGATGTGCGTGATGTCAAATGTCACGTGATCACAACCGAGTCAATAGTTCTTCTCTCTTGCTGAGGGATTGTGGGTGATCGTCTCCCATGCTCACATGCTCGGTCTCAGGCCACGGTGTTTGGCAGAAATCACTGATTTTTTCAGAACGTTGGAAGGTGCCCACACTGGCACTCGTGTATTTTTTGTCACTTCAAAGCACGTAGGGACAGTCCTTTGCTTTTCCGTACGAGAGTAAGCTTAGGAATGTTTTGCTTCCTTCTAGGTCAGGCTGCCTGTGGATATAGACCTTTTCTCTGATGCCTTATTGCCAGTTACGTTAAATACAGCCTATGACAAGAGTTTATTGCTATTGTATTGTAACCAACATCTGTTAGTGATAGTGAAAGTCCTACACAATAACCCTCCTCTCTCTTGTCTCCCCCACACCATTCACAAAGGTTTTCAATGGTAAGTGCAGGTTAACTTGTTTATTTTTTTTTAATATTTTGTATTTTCTTTATTATTTTGTATTATAATCATTTTTTAATATGAATATTTTGGGGTTTGGAATGAACTATCTGAGGTTCCATTATTTCTCATGGGGAAATTCACTTTGATACACAAGTGCTTTGGATCGCAAGCATGTTTTCAGGACGAATTATGCTCATAAACCAAGGTTGTACAGTATTTTATTGACTTATTTCTCTCATTCTGTAGTGATAGACTGTTGTCAGCACAGAAGAAGGAAGGCGCCAAAGCATGATGTGTACAGGCACACATACATATTCAGACCACAAACTCTGTGGTAGCATTAAAGCTAACACTCCATCACCCAGATGCTTATATAGTTTCCAGTTAAATAAACCCAAGTACTTTTCAGAACGAAGTGGGGCTCTATGGATAATTAGCCCTGAAAAACAGGCATTGACTGGAACTCACCTGGGCAAACCAGGATATATGATTGCACTGTGTCGCTATAATGACATGTCTTGGTATTACAAACAGAATCACAGTGAAAACCTCTGTGTCCATGTCATTTCACATACGTGCACACGC